GTAAAGAATCAGTTTTCTTGTGTGTGTGTGTTTAAGTTTGACAGTGAGTGGAAATACGAAAGTGCGGTAATATTGGCGTATAGGATTATGAGTCTCCATTGATTAGATATATGAATGAATAACTAAATATTCTATAGTTGGTTTTTAAGGATTAAATTTGTTCTTCGAGTTTGCCCCACGGATTTATTTCAGTTAGAGAACCATCGGAAACCAGCACTGGAGTACTGCCAGACAGCCGTTTCATCCTAGTTTGGGAATTATCGGTAGTACGCACCCACCACAGGAGTTGGAACCCATCACGCTCCGGTTACAAGGCAAGCTAGCTCGTATACCATTCAGCCACTGGAACTCGAACTGGGTTCCACCCCCCAGTGGGTTCGCCCTGCTGATGATTCTGAAACTAGGATGAAACAGATGCCTGTCCAGTACTCCAGTGCTGGTTTCCAGTGGTTCTCTAACTGATATCAATCCGTGATCAACTCGTAATAACTAAATAAATAAAAAGCTAGAGGTCAATAGACATGTGTGAAATAGATGAAAATGAAGTGGTCGAAAAGAGAATTTTCTTAGCTGAATTCTTTGTTTTCATGTCTCAATGGGGACTATTAACTTACAATATCATGTAAATAAATTTATACGGATCTTTAATTTCCTGACTAGAACTTATGACGCATACAGTCTGATGAAATTACATAGAATTTTGCTTTATCTAGGTGTTTCTATACAGTTCAGTAACTTGGTGCACCAGGAAAACCATTTTCCAACAGGTCGCGGAAAAGGCTTTCATTAATAGATGCCTTCGCTCAATGCGGATGAGCCTCCTCTCTAGACTACACTGCTGCTTTTGACTATATTCCTAGGGCACTTTTACTAAGCAAGCTGATTTCAGCAAACACTGAGTCCAGTTGGGTCACAAGGTGGCTGGCTGTCCTTCTTATTTTTCGTGTAGAAAACAACAGCATACTGTTTGTAATGGAATGCGCTCCACAATTCTTTGCTAATGCGGAAAATGTTCTGCCTCAAGATGGAGTGTGTTCTCTCCATTCTTTTTTGTCTTTCTTTTCGTATGACCTTCCGTATTCTTGCAAAGCTAACTTCCTTAAATATGCTGATGATCTAACCATTTCTGTCCCAGTAGTTTCTGCTTCGGATTGTTCTTATATGAATAGATTCTTGTCTGAAGTTAACAAAATGGTCTGACCTAAATGATCTTAAACTGAGTCCATCTAACTGTCATATCGTTGGTTTTAGTTTCAGATGCGAACAAGACTTGAGTGGACTGATTCAGTCGAATGATTCCTGTAATATTGATGGCACTGTGATGGGGAGTAAATCGAATATCTCTCCTGTCTCGGTATCAGTTTCTCTCCTAATCTCTGTTGGTCGTCTCATATGCTGTTGATTTCTAAGAAAATCTTTCGTTTGCCTTATTTCACAAAGAAGATGAGACTTTCTGCTGGCATAACTTGATCTCTTCTTTTACAATTTGTTAATTCATGTTCTCTGATCATTCTCCTTTATTGTTCGCCATACTTCCTCCCTGGACTCTTCAAAAAAGACTATGTCGTATTATGTAGAACACTGAGGGTTGTAAGTGGGTTTACTGTTGTGCCTTTGACTCATCTAACTGACATTATTGTCAATAAGCACTTCAATTCTTGCAAGCAGTTGGCTAAAGTTATTTTGTCGGATACTGAACATTCTCTTTATTCTCAACTTTTTCCCTGTATATCTTCGGGTAAAACCAGAGGAAATGTCATAAGAAGCATTTATGCTCGTACAGCTACAAGATATAAAAATTTCACCATACCACCATATTTAGCACGGGTTTTGTGTGAAGAGTCAGATATCAGAAAAGATGTTATAAACTTCTTAAATCAGTAACTCAGCTGAAAAATATAAGCAAAGATTACTATTGTTACATATATTATCTGTGATAATATCAACTTATACACTCATTATGTTTCCACAAACATTCTGTTTATAGTTGTATCATTATAAATAATATTATTATTACTATTTTAAGTTTTACGTACTTATATATTTATAAAAAGAGCTACATTGTTGCAATAGGTAAAAAAAAAGGTTGAAAATTCCATTCAGTATAATTATTATCATTAGATAACCAACCAAAAGAGGATAAACAACAAGAAACTCTACCGGGAAACCGGTCACCACCCTGTTACCTAGAAAATATACAGCGGTAAATAGAGATGAATCCAATCTACTCCGGAAAAACAACCATTGAACGGCATCAGACACTAAGCGCTCAAATGGGATCCGAATGGGAATCGACAAACTGGACGTCCAAGTGTGATGTGGATGAGATTAAGTTGTGAGGAAATGAAAGCTTGTAGAAAGTCATGGAGTTTACTGAAAGCGATCATAAAGAAGTGAGCACATTGTAAGTGTGCGGCTAAAGCCGTATGTTTCACTCAGAATGAAAGAAATAAGTAATAATATTAATAATATATCAGAAGGTGACAGAGCTGGATTGGACATATACTGAAGAGATCGCTGAATGCCACCACACACCAAGCAGACCATGGAGTGGAACCCAAGTGGAAAAAAGAGAGCTGGACGTGAGTGTCAGAGGGTAATTAATATTCAGGAGGTCGTTTGAGGAGGGCTTCGTGTGCTTTTCGAAGTGTGTGGGTGGTTGTTACTTCCCCACTGCCGACACCATGGAAGTCAATTAATTTTAGGAGTACCTGAAACAGAAGGAGAAGTAGTGTTGCGTGACTGCAGAGCCTAGATGACAATTGCTTGAAGCCGGTTACATACGGCCTGTCTGAACCGACTTTTTGGTTTGGCTCCACTGTGGAGTCAGTCAGGATGAACAATTTTCAAAGTTGACATTTTCTAACCACCTTTTACCGCTCAACAGAGTGGAGAGACAACATAGCTGGCTGGCATGGTGGTCATCTGAGGGAAACACCTTACTGCTGTTACATCCCTACTCCCCAGCAGTACGACTTCGCCCACAGACTCCCAGCATAGTGTAGAAAAAATCTTTCACTATGCCGGTCACTGTTTTTAGTCTAATCGCTATCATAGCAATCTCCCTGTCCCCAACTGAGGTTATAAAAGCTGTCACTAGTCTGAAACGAGGCAAAGTAGTGCGACCCGATGGAATGACTTCAGAGGTGTTCAAGGAAGGTGGGGACAGTTTACTGTCTGCGTTAACTAAGGCATTATTTAGTGTCTGAGAATCAAAGATAGTCCCGTCGGACTATTATTATTATTATTATTTCCTTTAGTTCCTAGAGGAACATAGGGCTTCAGCCATGCGTCTCCACTGCGTTCGGTTCTCTGCTAGAGTTTTCACCTGGCTCCAAGCCTGCCCATACGCTTTCAATTCTTCTTCACATGATCTCCTCCAGGTCACCCTTGGACGACCAACTCGTCGCTTCCCTTTCGGGTTCCACTCGAGGCCCGTCGGACTGGTGTAAGTTATTGATTATCCTGATATACAAGGAGGAAGACAAGTCTTCCTGTGATAATCAAAGAGGGATTAGCTTGAACAATATAGTATCTAAAGTTCTAAGGTCAATAACCATGTGTAGACTAAGCGGTCCACTGAAGGAACAAACACGAGAGAACCAGGCAGGCTCTAGACTAGGAAGAGGGTGTATTGATCATATCTTCACCCTTTGACAGACTCTGGAAAATAGGCATACCCACCGGAGTCCAACAATTGTCATATTTCTTGACCTGAAAGCAGTATTCGACTGCGTCTACCGTGAGGTACTATGGTGATGTCTGTCTGTGAAGGGAATGCTGAGATAATACATTGCACTGATCAAGGCACTCTACTCGAACTCATGTAGCCTGGTAAGAGCTTATGGAGAGTTGTCATCTCAAGTGGTGACAGCTAGTGGTGTCCGTCAGGGGTGCCAACTGTGTCCCCACTTCTGTTTAATTTCATCATATATGTACTAAAGGACTTAACTCTAACTGACTACACCAACTGAGGGATTGATTTGTTACCAGCAGGAAATAACAGTTTCGTTGACTTAGAATATACTGATGATAATGTCATGTCTCCTAGATGAAGAAGTTGACAAGATACAGAGTCTTCTGAACACCATGAGCAGCAAGCGATCTTTGAATGTTCGATATGCGATTCGCTCCTGTCAGATATAAGATGACGGCGCTACAGGACTGGATTACATTGACTCACTCCTAGCTTAAAGATAGGAAGTGAAGTGGCTGATGGAACGTGTTGACCACTTGACTTATCTAGGAATTTGTATCAGCCAACACCAGTGGGTTGATTGCTGACAAAATCTCAGTACGGATACAGAAGGTTCGTTTGGCATATCCCAACCAACCTACGCCACCTCTGGCTTGGGAGGCATGATATCCGGTCGGCTGTCTACCAAAGGGCGTACGTACTGCTCAGCAGTTCTCTCCGTCCTCCCTTATGGCTGTGAGTGAGACATGGCCATTGAAACGGGAAGATATAAAAAGGCTAGCTAGCTGTCTCTGATGATAGGTGCCTGCGTTCTGTCTCCTATGTTAGATGGTATAATAGCGTGAGTGATACTGAGTTGGTTAGGCGTCGAGTGCTAGGTAGGTGGGAGGGGAAATTAATCGACTAGGTTGTGAAGTTACAGCGATTGAGATGGTTGGGACATATGCAAAGCATGTCTAGTGAACCGTCATCTTCCTCGACGATAGGCAGATCAGATTGTTGGAAAAGAACTAGTGGTCGGTGGTCAAACCAAAACATGGCTTCATAAGTCAATGAAATATACAACAGTTAGTTTAAGCCACGTAGAGTGGTGTAGACTTCGTGATTGTGGTCCTAGGGATAGTAAGAATCAATGACTACAGACAATTGGTGATATGTCTCGAAATCCTTGTTGTCAGTGGCGCAGATGCATCCACTCTTTGTGAAACCAGTCAGTCGTTTGAAGAGGAGGAGATAAAAACGTTTCGGCAATCGTACAGCCAAATAACAAAGACTGCAGAGAACAAAGAAAGGTCAATTATCGATGGAGTTGTACTACTGACAGCCTATATTCCACTCGGAACCCAAGGGAATAATAATAATTTAAAAAAATAAGAAATTAGAGGAAGAATAAAACTTTTTTAATCATTATTTTAGCGAAATACTCACATAAACAGAATATCATTCATATTGTGTAAATAAATCAGACAAACAAAAGGCAAGTTTTATTGAATAAATTTCAATAGAACACCAATATAATAACAATAACAGTAATAATAATAATAACAATAATAAAGCGATGAAACACGAGCATGAGACCTTAGAGCAGCAGCCAACATCCCTCCTCATCACACCTACATTGGTCTTGATGGTTCCCCTTTAAATGTGAACGCTTTAATCACAGTCGGTGCAGAGGTTAAAATGCCTAGTGTAGTGAATAGATTTAAAGCAGCGAACACCAGCAGACAGAAACGATCCAGTACACGACAGGCTAAACGCCATTGGTTTGATGTTTTCACCTCTTGATCTTTAATATGCATACCTGAGGTAATAAAACGTAATTCTTTAGATATTTGTTTTAATTTTAACAGGAGGAGATCATCAGTATGATAACTATCCTGTTTCAATGGACTGTTGAAACTTTGATCATCTGTTTTACTTGGAGATGAAAACAGTGTGTCTGACCATTGTTTAGACTTTTCTGGGGAAAGATTAATCCTCGACTCAGTCAAAGATGATGGAGATGAAGATGGGGAAGCAGAAGCGGAAGCCGAAGCGGAAGAAGCGCAAGCTGAAGGTATGTGGAATCTTGGAAGTGTTTTATCCAAATATTTGGTGGATTTTATTAATTGGCCATTTATTGCATTGGTTGTATTAGCAGGTATAGACATTCGAATGTTTTCTTTATTCGAATAGCCTATAAACAGATTAACAAAGTAAAAAAGCAAAATACACAGTTAATACAGAGCTACTTTAATTGACTGCTAGTGTAACGTCAGAAGACAAGGGCCAGGCTACAGATCTTTTAATTGAGAAAATCAACAGATATTTATAGATTTTTTCATGTACATTATTATTAGCGTTATTATTAGCAGAGAAATAGCGTCTTCTGATTGGTTGTTTTCGCACTGGAAGTTATTCTGTCATTTTTTTGAAGGTCAGACCATATATCTGCAAATCGTATCCGCCCACGCAAAGCCTGCTGTGATTGGTTGATGAGTTAGTCTTTGTTCTTGTTTTTTTCTTCATGACCAAGATATGGGACGTAAACATTGGCGTAAATTGCTGTCTTCCAATTTTGGCTAGCAAACAGCTCTCACCACACTAGTCTAGTCCTTCGTGCTGGTGCAATGTATGTGAATTCTATCAGTCAGGTTTACAGTATGGCCACCAAGGTAGTTGGCATTCTGAATTGATGTTATTAGATGGTTGGAGGCGTTCGGTGTGAAGCCCTGCTTAGACCTAGGTTTCGTGCATATCAGCATTCACCAGTCAGTAGGCCAGGCATATCTGGAATCTTGAAGCAACTCATATCCTTTTCGAGAATCGAACCCGTGTGCGTCACACAACGGTGCAGTCAGAGGTATTACAACTAAGCTACTCGGGCTCGCGACTGAACTCCTATACGACGACTATAGATACTTTGACAGATGATCAGGTAGCAACTTTTAGTCCTTGGTATGATGCACACTAGATTCTATCAGTTAGTGATAGCAAAACTTGAGTTCCGAGCTTCCTGCAGATTACCTCCAACCATCTAACTAGGAAATGAGGACGTACACAGCAACTACATGAACTTGTGATAGGACTATCTGAAATAAACTTTGGTGATAAGACTGCTATTTCTGTTGTATTGGGTGATGACTGTGAGGGTCATATGAAAATCTGGGTCGTACGTCGGGATTTAAACAAGACACCTCTGAATCGTTAGTCCGCTACCCGCTACGTGCTACCCTACGTGGGTAGCACAGTTGCGTCTTGTAGCTCCACTGGTAGAGTGACTGCCCAGAAGGTCACTAGTTCGAATTCCAGAGACATTCAAAATTCTCATTTCTCCTTCCTTCAGTTAGCATCATCAGCCATTACAACCATAGGTATCTTTTTTTCACTCCTTTGTATTCCAGGTGGAACATAGACCTGCAAGCTTTCAGCTTTAGAGTTTCAAAAGCATTGGTATTGTGTTTTTTCAACCAGGTGGGATTGCTAGACAATCGCCCAGCCTTCACTTTTCTCCAACATTACTACTAACTAGGTGCATGCGTCAGACGGGAATCGAACCTAAAGCTATCGGCGAGGTTGACGACCATTCTCCCGTTGAACCACCGACACATCTAACTTCTAATAACAGAAAAACTGTTTGGAAAATCCCTCCCGAACTATCTAATTACAGTATTTATGCATATTCAGACGTTTCAGCTAACTTTGCAATTATTATCCATTTTCCTCTTGGACCGTACATCATTATTTTGACATTTGCATATCATATGTTCAATTAATCCTTATTCTTTACCTTGTTCCCTGTTAAATCTCTAATTTTAGTGCTTATGTTAGTGGCTGTAGATACGATTTGATTTTGTACTAGTGGATCAAGGTCACTCTGGTCTTGGACTGTCTACAGTAAGCTTTGTTGTGGGATTCTTGTAGACGGAATTTTTAATCCCACCATTTTGGGGATATTCTACTTGATTCTGAGTACTCCTTTCGTACTTAGACTGGACTGCATAACTGTCTCGTCGCACTGTTGAGGTCATTTTAGAGTTTTTGACGTTCTTATTGCCTGATAGAACAGCAGAATTACTAAAGAACATTCATTTTTATCCTATCTTTGGGTCGTTTCATGAATGCGTATGCCTCAGTGAATTCTTGTCAGCTATACATTAGGACTCAGAGATCGGTGTTTATCTGCTTGCCAACCACAATTAGTTGGTCCTTGTTTTAGAGCTTCTGGCCCAGTGAATTACAACACCATTGCTCCTAGGAAGTTCTAGGATATATGCGATAGATGAGCAAACCTAATTAGCTTTATACTAAGAGTTAAAATAAGAGATAAATTATTGAACCAAAAATATAAAGTGTTGGACATTATCTTATGCAATTGTCTCATCGACAGAATTATGCTATACTAAATCTTGTTAAAATAACAATCTGGGGAAATAAAAAAAGTGTGATTCAACGAAATGATTCTGTTAGTTTGAACTCCGCTACCCAGAAATAGATAATTCATGTACTAGGCTAAGAGCTACGCTTATTGTGTTATAAGGAATGAATACTCAGGCTGAATTAGGTGAGGTCAGACTCGAACTCAGGGCCCATCATCTGAAATTTGAATGCTTCAGATAATGAGACACTATTTCATTTGCCAAAACATACAATGACAAACAGAATGAATGTAAAGCTCGTAGGAATAACGAATATTATTCAGTCAAATCAAACTCGTGATTGTGCTGACTAATTAGTAATTTGCACAGTTCGACGAATTGAAATCTTACAACAGTTTCCTCTTTTTTTAATTTTATTCCTTTACGTTTCCAATGGAGCATATAAGGCTTCAAGCTAGAGATCTTTGAAGTTTCTGTAACAGTGGCGTTTATTTTTACGGGATGGGGTTACTAGCTAGACTTATGCACAACCTTCCCTCTTTACCAGTCTTATTACTGACTTGGCGAAGTAAAGGAGTGCGTTGGCCGGGAATCGAACCCCGGACTACATGAGTGGTTGGCTGGCGAGTATTCTACCTCTGTACCACCAACTCACACAGTTTTCTCTGAAAACCAAAATTATTCAGATCACCACACAATATATGATCTGTTTGATACTATATGGATTTTTATTTAAATATCTAGTCAACTCCACACATGTATATAAATGAAGGAAAACGTTGTGTGAGTGACTGCCTTGATATGACTATGAGAAATAGTTTGTGCTCGAAACGTCATCAGTTAATGTTACTGTATGACAACACTGTGTGACTTATCCAAATAAAATCTTATCCATAATGGAGTGATACTGTAAATGGTAAACAAGAAACCAAGCGTAAATACACGAAACTATATACTACTATTGATTGAGTGAGGTGAGTTTCTACATACTACTTACATCAATTAGTAGTGTATGCTAACCAGACAGTTCAAAGTTATCAAAGTACCAAACGGCTGTTTAGCTGGTTCGGGTTCAAGCTCACTACCAGTATACTTTGTTTGACTGTGGTAAAATAATCACCTCAGTCTACATAAACCGCAAAACTGATTTGAGAATCTTATTTGTTAAACACAAAATAATTGAACAAAGAATATCCTTTTCGATAGTTTCCTCTTCTGGCTCGACAGTTATGTATATATATATATATATGTTTATATGCATAGAATATTCTAGAATAGTAGTCAATAACAATATTGGTGGTTTTTTAAATAATATCGATTTGTAAAGTAAGATCAATGGAATTTAACTGCCCCTGTGGAGCCAGTTACATAGGCCATACAATTAGGCGTGTTTATCGTCGGATTTCTGGACATCACCCTGGGTGGTTAAGCAAAGGACAAACAAAATCTATTCGCAGCACTATTGTGTCACACCTTGTGGATACAGAACACAAGATTGATGTTAACGAGGTGGCTTTCAAAGTCATTTACCGCATACCACCATATCTTAATTTCGCCTTAAGAATTCGTTTACTAAATATTGCTGAGGCTGACTGTTGGGATCCATATTAACAAGCCTGATTTGTGCATCTAAAAGAAGTTAGTTCAGACATTATATTTACCTTGGCCATCTAGGTTTGAATGATCCTCAAATTTTGTGGAAATTTCCATAATTTTATTTGACATTCTATTTGCTATTATATCTTTATTACTATAATTATTTAAGCACCTTTAATGAACTGTAATTCCATTACGATCTAACTTAGCAAATCGATATTATTTAATAAAAAACACTAATATTGTTATTGACTACTATTCTAGAATATTCCATGTATATAAACATATACGTATATAATTGTACAGCCAGAAGAGGAAATTATCGAGAAGGATATTCTTTGCTCAATTATTTTGTTTTTCATATATGTCTGAATGAATATTTTCGCTATATCGAAATCCTATTTGCAGTATTACCAGTTCACTCAAGCAGCTAACCCGAATTCGGACAGTTTTTGAACTGACTTGTCTCTCTGAGTTGAGTCAAACTAATGATTACACTGCCGATGAACTCGTCCTTTAAGGAATGAAATGGCTATCTGGCTGGCTAGCAAGCAGTACTACTGTTTGATACGATTGATATAAAACTACTCATCAAACCTAATTAGTAGTATATAGTTCCATGCAGTGTTGATCCACAACAAATGCAAATATAATAAAGCAAGAATACGAGCTGCCTGCAGTTAGAGAACCTATGAAAACCAGGGGGTACTGGACAGCTGTTTCGTCCTGATCATAATGTTACTGGGGATCTAAAAGAGGACCTTTAGGTTACAAGGGCAGCTCACCGACTATTCAATGACTGAAATCGACTTCAATGATTCATAAATTTTAACTTCTGCCAGCATATCATGCCCCGGCTAGTCAATGCTGTTGACGAAAGTGTTTCGTCACACCCGACTTCGTCGGCCCTGCTGGCCATGACTTCTCACTAGGACTCCAGGAAGCTGACTTGGTAGTCAGCCACCAACAAGGCAATGGATTCAACAATCCCAGGATTGACATCAGCTCAGACTACTTGTATTTGACCAATCAATCCGTTCACATACAATAAATAATACAACTTACCATATTTCACAGACGCACTCCTATTGCAAGCATACTCCAGTCGACTGCTTACTCCACTTCTCATCCCACCTACTGCTGTTGCTGCTACTTCCTCGTCTTCTTCTTGAGAAAAGAATCTATTCAATTGTCTTGTAGATAAATTTCTTAACTTGACTTGCTGTTGTTGTTGGGGTTCAACGAAATGATTCTGCCTAACTACTACATTGTGTTGAGGAGAATTTAACTGAGGCGCTACCGTTTTATGATGAATTAGTACAGCAGGACGAAATTCTGAATTCATATCGATTACATTTGACCAAATTGGTGTATTTTTTGTAGAAGAATTTAAGCTATCATCTCGACTGTCATTGGTTAAAGTTTTCGATTTACGATTAGCTCTGATTGGTTGTTTTTTTATTCGACCTATTGATTTATTGTATACAGTATTCTCATTATTATTATTATTACAGTCTGCTAGATTAGAATGCACACGACGATGCTTAGGAATTAATTTCTCCTTTGAAGCGTATACATTTTCTTCAGGTGAATTATGATCTATGCGAAGAAGACTTGCTAACCACGTGTTGATCAGTGTTTCAACCTTGAGTAGAAGAAATTTTTCAAGTGGAGAAAACAATGATGAAAATGGTTGATTGATTGATTGCTTAATTAAAAAAACACATTGAACTCCAGGAAGAGTTTCATTTTTAGATTGTAGCTCTGATAGAATGATGGCTACAGTTGAGATAAAAGCTTTAACAATAGGAACAAGAAGTGGGGTTATGCATTCAAATCTTACAACCTAAGAGTTTAGTCTTAGCTCCAATAGCATTTCAGTCGCGAGTCCGAATAGCCCAGTGGTAGTGTTTCTGACTGCCGCCACTGGATTACGCGAGACTGAATCTCCAAAAGGGACATAAGTCCTTTCAAGGCTGCAGATATGCCTTGCTGACTGACTGCTGAATGCCAACAAGCACGTAAACTTGTTCACGCAAGGCTTCCTGCCAACTGCCTCCAATCATCTATTGGCAGTTAATATTAATATCTGTGTAAAACTTGGGCACTGTGGTAGTATGTAATTCCACATTAGATATATCACACAGTGAAACAGTATTATTATTTACTGGATTACAAAGTTTCGAACACAATTTATTACTGTTCATAATCATCTCATCAATTATAATCACACGACTTCGAAACTTCAGTTTTATAGTTTTCTTTGTTCTCTCCTATTTGTCGTCACAGGGGTAGTACAATGTTCCAAATATCTGGGTGGACAGGTGTTGAATCACCCCTATTACACGTATTTGCAGTTGATTCATTAAACAAAGCTTCTGTTATCAAGTTGAGATAAAAGCCTTAACAACAGGAGTAAGATGTGAGATTGTGCATTCAAATTCTACAACCTAAAAGAGTTTAATCTCACCTCCAACAGAATTAAATATTATTAATATTATTAAAGCAATTAGTTCCCTTTATGAATTTTGACAACACAATAAAAAGACGGAGTTTATCTGAAAGGTGTAATGCATTTGCCCATCGTCTGTTGGTGGCACAGCGGTAGAATGCACGTCAGTCACGCCCTATCTGGTTCGGGATTCAATCCCCGAACGACGCACTCCTTTAACTCTCTAAGACAGTAGTAAGACTGTTAAAGAGGGAAGGTTGGGCATGAGGTTGGCTAGCAGCCCCATCCCGTAAAAATAAACGCCACTGCAACCGGAAACTTAACAGCTCTGACTTGAAGCCCTATGTTCCACTGGGAACGTAAAGGAGTAGAAAAAACAATTTGCCCAAAACATTTCGGACATTCTAATCACGTGCACACACACACACTAGTACTTATCATACATGGTTTTATAGAAGGCAAGAGTCGGCGTGAATCATTACAAGACATGTCACACTGTGTAGACAACGAGGTCACAAATAATGGTTAGGGACGTGACGCAAAGGTGTGGGTAAGAAAGGGAAAAAGAGAAAAAACAAAGCAAAGAAGGGGTTGAAAATATTGTGAAGTAAATTGATCCTTGGTTCTCAATTGAATTACCAAGGCAGGTTTAAAGTAATAACAATTAACTTTTGGACACATAAGACAGACAGGTTTAAGCCTTTTTATGGTTATAGCTTCAACGAATTTGAGTATGCGACCCAACCTTGTTTCATATATGGGTTAGAAATGCATATATATATATATGATGTAATTTTGTCTAATAAAAAGTTATTCTTACAGTCACAGGTCAACATTTCCCTTCCGATATCTCTCTGAGTCAGTAAAACCCTGAAGACACTGAGGCAGAACTGCTGCATATTTGGTGAAATGGACCCAAGTATACTATTATCTTGTTCACTTCAGTATATTCCCCATTACCTAAATTATACATTGTACAATACGTTAAAAAAAAGAAAGCATAAAGCACACTCAGAATAGAACTTACCCACCATGGAACATAAACAATTCCACCAGTATGATGATGACAGTTTAACAGAACCACAGCACAGACCAATGAAAGCGAACACAAGATCATTGTACACGTGAAGTACAAAACTATTTATAACACACGATAACAGAGTATAATTTGTTTTATCATTTATTTTTGTCCCACATGTGAATTGTTTTCAATAGAAAGTGATTATTTCATGAAATCGAAAGCAAAAAAGACAAAAACAAAAGGAGAAGAAATTATAGAAGCTGATATCTCTTTCCAATTAAACTAGAGAACAGTTCTTCTATCAGTAATCTTATTAGGGAAAATTGACATTTTAATGCTGGTATATACATATATACTTATCTTTTGTACAAAATGATATAGACAGGATCAAAATAATAAGTTAATTCAATCTATCCATCTATCTGTTTTCGACATAGAACTTTTCAACGACGTGCAGCAGTTCAAGTCGTCACACTCCCTCCTTGTGGCACACAAAGCAAGAGAAGAAAGCAGAAGAAATGCGTAATAGAGACAGTAGACAGGGATATGAGAAAAAAGGAATAATAAAAACGAAGAACAAAACAGTTTCATTGAAAATTATAAGTCACAAGGAGTGGATGCATCTACACCAACCATTGACAACGATTTTGAGCCATATCACCGATAGTTGTCTCCAGCCATCGGTTTTTACCGTCCCAAGGGACCCAATCAGTCAGCAGGTCTACATCTTCCTACGTGGCTGGCCTAAACTAACTGTTGTGGATTTCATTGACTGGTGCCATGTTTTCGTATGACCGCCGCCAGCTCTTTTCCAGACTGACCCTATGTCAGCTAACATTGCCCGTTGAGGAAGGCGATGACTAGGCATCCGTAACACATGTCCTAATCATCTCAGTTGATGTAGCTTCACAGCCTCATCAATTGATTTCAATGAATCATATTCAGCTATCAGATTCATATATGAAGAAGAGGAAGAATCCCAAAAGGGAAATTGCCTTCTTAGATGTCCTTCTGACAAGAAAACCAGATGGTAATATTGAAGGAAGCTTGCTTAGGAAAAGTACATGGCCAAGACAATGTACACTCTTGTTATTCTTTCTGTACGAAAGAAATTTGCTACGAGCCTTCATAATAATAATAATCACTTTATTCCACAACAATAACAATTTACAGCATGGAATTTTCAGCGTTTCATTTTACATATTGCATTGGTTTAGCTCTTTTTATAATTATATAAATGTATAAAATTTTAAAAATATTAATAGTTAATAGGAAAAATAAAAACCCCAACAAAATACACCCTTTCTAGGTCATAGTGAATAATAAATAAATAATATAACAAATCACACATGCAATAATATGCATCATTACATTTTTTAGTTTAGTTAATGATTTAGAAGTTGTAAAAGTTCTTTTCTGATATTCGTCTCTTCACACAATACTCGTGCCAAATATGGTACGGTCGAATTTTTATATTTTGTAGTACGAGCATAAATGTTTATGAAATTTCTTCTGGTCTTACCCGAAGAGATACAATGAAACAAATGTGAATAAAGAGGATGTTCACTATCAGACAAAATAACTTTAGCTAAGTGTTTACAAGAATTCAAATGCCTATTGACAACAGTGTCAGTTAGTTGAGTCAAAGGGATAGCACTGACCCTACTTACAGCCCTCAATGTTCTTCGTAGTATTATATGGTCTTTTTTGAGTAGCCCAGGGAAGCTACAGCGTCAGATCTGTTTGTTCAGAAGATGTAATTGAAGATAAACTTAAGATTGTATATGACACCTTAATTCAAAATAGCTATACAGCAAAGATCATCTTGAAGCACATGGCCAAAAAAGTCTAAATAATTATTCTGTATCTGCAAAACAAGAGGCCTCTATATACACGACTATAATCCAAAGATGATATACCAAGTGAAACAATAGGCAACAAGTTGAGAAAGTTGATTCAAAGGACCTTTAAATTCCCGCAAGTTGTAGCGCTCGCTTTCCACATGACTGACTGCGATTGTTCAATTGAGAAACGAAGTGTACCTAGGATGGCCAACTATTCATACATCTCTATCAATTTAACTTCCCCTCTAGAGCCAGATGTATTGACCTTTCGCCTTGGAGCTTAGCTATCAGGGTTCAGGAACATTTCCACCCGTGTAGCTACATAAAGGTGTATTAAAATTCATCAACAATTTGATATTAGGTCACTAGACATAAACACGTCATACAAATAGCGTTGAAGATTCATTTTCTATCATGTGCCGGTCTCTAGATAGCGAATACTTAGAACAACAGAAGCTATAGCGATTCGATTAAAACAACTGTAGCTTTGTGTGCCAAAGAAATATGTGTCTAGTCACTATTGGTATCCTGGCCTGTTGTGGAATCTACAGAATTTATAAATACCGTATTACATCTCACCTTTTAGGTGTGACCTTCCATCCTGTAGGTGTAAATTCCCTCACCCCTTTTTATTGTACTTGTATAAACAAACCAATCATTGGAAACATTTATTTCCCGATACGAATTTAAAACAAGCAATAAAGGTTAATAAAGCAGGATTTAATGAATTCATCAAATTTCGGTAGAACTCGTCAGCTGAATACTCTACATACACGGATATATACTTTTGAAATTACATTGGGAGATATAGGAATGAATACTTTACATACACGGATATATATACTTTTGAAATTACATTGGGAGATATAGGACTGATAAGTAAATAAACTACTACTGTCTTTCTGTATGACTAATTCAGTCTTATATCTCTCAATGTAATTTGAAAATAGCATATATATATCCGTGTATGTAGAGTATTCAGCTGACGAGTTCTACCGAAATTTGATGAATTCATTAAATCCTGCTTTATTAACCTTTATTGCTTGTTTTAAACCATTTATTATTTTATTTAAACTTGGGCATTAAATTACGTTACAGTGCACACACACATATACACACATAACCTTCTAACCCATTTTCTCTCCCTGCTTTTGATATTATCATTCATCCATAGGAGGTTAATAATCAGTATAATAATAACATCTTTATTCTGGAGAGTATTTATATAATATACAGAATTTTCGGAGGGGTTTACTGCACGATATTTTCGCTTCTTATAATCACTATCTTCAAGTAAAATATTAATTTACAGTAAAGTCCTGTGTGACACAATGGTCTCTGAGCTGATGAAGCACAAACCACGTTTCATTATGATGTATCTACTTTGTCTCCTTCAAGAAATCCATCCACGATATCTGGTAGAAAGCCAATTGTAAGATGTTCAGAACATGTACATTTTGAGACCCAAGGAGATAACTGAAGAACAGTTACCTCATGTATTGGAACACATTACCACCCACAATCAAGCCATTCCTCAAGTTTAGTAGGAACTTGCGAATCACAAGATTGTAAGCATTTTAAATACACACAAGCGTAAATAATAATACCCCTTAGAGGTGATATGTTAATCGATTAAAACAAACTGCAGTAGAGAGATGGTATTAAATTTAGTGTTATCAAGAACAATAATTCTGTAATTATTATGAAAAAGTACATAACTATGAGAAGTGATGGAGAAGAAGTTATCGAAGAGAATCTATTCTTTATTCACTCATTAATTAGTCTTTTGAAATTCATAATAAACATCTCTAAGCATAGAAGATGCCTATTGAAAATTTAAAAGACTCATCAATGGATAAAGCATATTCTTTTCGACAATCTCGTCATCAGGGGTCTTACAATTATTTGACCATAATAAATGAAAAAGAATATTGTTAACAACAGCATTAATGCCTTTCAACTGACATCCAGTCATTTACATCGATAGATTATAGTTTGAAAGCATCTGTAAGTGGTATTATTATTATTATTGTTTCCTTTAATTCCTAGAGGAACATAGGGCTTCAGGCGTGTGTTTCCATTGCGTTCGGTTCTCTGCTAGAGTTGTAATATGCATAGAAATGTAATATTAAATTGAATATTAGATCAATTAAGGGAAGTATTACACTGATATAAGTATAAAACTTGGGCACTGTGGTAGAGTATGACTCCATTATGGATAAGACTTTATTTTGGTAAATCACACAGTGTTGTGCAGTTATATTTACTGATAACCACGTTTTGAGCACAATTTATTACCTCTCTGATTTGACTGGTAAGACTATCTACTATATCTCTAGTATTTGCGCTGAGCCACTTCTTTTGCATGTGTTAGGTGTAGACTCGATGAACTAGGATTCAGTAATCAATCTCTCTCGCTCTCCACCTACCTATATTACTTTTAGGGTTTTAACTCTGTCCCATTCACCCTATTGTGTGGTTGTGTGTTAATGCATGCATTACAATTACTGAGTTTTGCTCTAACTTACTAATCTTCGTGATGTCAACCATTCTAACCTTAGCTAAATTCTTATATACTGATAATCTCACTACCCGCGCCCGATCTACTAGTTTGACCTATGTAGTTGACCTAACTCACAGTCATTGCAAGGTATTTCGTAGATTATATTATTCTGATCAGTTGGGTTAACTTACAGCTTCCTTTAACCTGCAGAGCTTGTCTCTGAGTGAGTGAGTTTGTAGGTTTGAATGTCACCCTAATTCCTGCTTTATTGAAAATCCTACCACGAAGGGTTTCAGATGTCCCTTTCTTATATGGTAAAACTGTAGATGTCTTATATTCTTTCTTATTTATGTTATCATTATTAATTTCACCATTATTTTTATTTTGCTTTTGACCTTTTTCATATTCCTAATGAATTTTAAAGGATATTTAGTTATTTAACACCAACGCCTCTTCTATCTGTTTCATTTCATCATTTAAGTTTTTAGTTGTACTACTTAGTGCTATTGCTCGGTTTGTTGGACACTTAACAAACCTTGCCTTTACAGACAGATAATAGATGAGATGAATTGAAGTCTAAATATCTATTAGCAGAATCTGTTGGATTTTTATAAACGCTAGTGTACAGTTTACCTTCTTCTGTTCGTTTTAATTTACAATCTAACACAGCTAATTCTCCTTGTTACATAATTACTTACATAATAAAATTACATAATTGCGTAAAGTATGAATAATATTTACATAGTTTATGAATTATAGTTTCGACAGCAGATCAGGGTAGTATACTAGTGGCTGGATCCGCTTCTTTTGTATTCAAAGCTCCAGCTGATTTAAACGAATTGCACAGACCTCTTTTGCCCAGAGTGTTCAGTAATTGGATGTCTTTGAAAATTTATGCAGTACCCAACAGATGATGGAAAAAGATTCTTCATTGCCAGTTTTGTGATCGGTTTGGACTAGGCAGTCTAATAGCGAGTCGTTGATCGTTTTCACTACACCTTCATTTAGCCCGTACTGATAGGTGCTCCTGAGCACGAAAAATTAAGATCCTACAGGAACGATGAATATAATCGGCTCCACAAGAGCAGCTGAACTGACATATATAACCGGAGTTAGTTTCGGAAACACAACCGATTGTGTGGAAAATATAAGCTGCAGCTTACCGGCACTAAATGCTTGTTACTTGTTGGTTATTATGTCACTTGGTACATCACCTTTGAATTTCAGTCGTATATATAAAGACCTTTCAGGGTAGCTGTCTTTAAATAACACTGCAATTCGCTTAAATCAGCCGGAGCTTTGCGAGCAAAAATAAACATATCCAGCCACTATTGCTACCCTCGCATGCTCTGGAACCCACAAAATCCATAAATTCTGTATTACTTTCCGCAATTTACCCGACATTCTGTTAAGTGTTATAGTGACTCCTAGTATCATTTACAGATGCTTCCGAACTGTAATCTATCGACCTTATTGACTCAATATAATTTAAAACGTGAATGTTCGTAATAATTGCGGAACCTGATGAAGAAGAAGTTATTGAAAAGAATATTCTCTTTTAACTCACTAATCAGTCATCTAAATAAATTTAATCAATAAAAAGTATATAAATGTGCTAAGATTTTAACAACTAACCAAGTACAGGATTGCCTGATGATGTTTGAGGTAGTTTATCGCCGACAAGCTGTAACAGCATAGTCAATGAAAGCAGAGTAGTCACGCCTACAAAGGGGGAAAAATAAATAAACCAAAATTAATGTCCATTTGATGTGTGAATGATATAATGTGTTAAGATATGTGTGTAAAACTGGACCATTGTGATAGTATGTAATTCCATATTTCATTTGATTAGATGATTTTATCATGAGCTGACATCGGTTACAGAACCATTGGAAAACGAGTAGGGAGCAATGTACAGTAGTTTCGTCCCAGTTTGGGACTCTTCATCAGCACACACCCACCACAGGAGTTCGAATTCAGGACCTTCTGGTTACAAGGCTAGCGAGCTCGTATACCATTGAACTAATGGAACCCGATCCAATAACCGACCCATGAATTCCAACTTTATTGTTTATTGGATATATCATTACACAGTATGAAACAGTACTATTATTATTATTTACTAGATGACAAAGTTTTGAACACAATTCATTATGTTAAATATTCTCATAGTGTAATCAGAACAAGATAGTTCTGAGTGAACAATCATTTTCGATAACTTCCTCCTCACACTCTACAGTTATAGATCCATGTATCCATTAGAATATAAATAGCTAGTCAGTAACGGCAAATGTGAGAATTATATCAGAAACTGCATTGGGTTAAATGTATAAGATGGTTAACAATGGTTAACACCGTCAACTGAATGTACAGTCATTCAGAACATCAGATAAAATGTGAGTAGACAATTGAATGACATACTGACGTATTTATAATTAACAGAATATAAGCTTCACTTGAGGGGGGGGGTTGTCAGTTATATTCACTGATGTGAGGGAAATATGATTAATAAGAATAATTAACACTACGTATGGTTATCTAATCAGATAAGGATTACTTATTTAATTCAATCTTAGATTTTCCCATCGACTGATTGGACCGAAGTGCTGGGTCTCAGGTTGACATATCGGCTTCTTGTGCAGATATTTCGATGATCTCTGGGCATGTAATTAGAAGTTAATAGGTGGATGGTGACTAGCAGTGGAATCCAGCCAGGATGCGCATTTCGTCTAATTACATGCCCAAACATCGTCGAAGCATCTGCACAAGAAGCCAACATGTCAACCTGAGACGAAGCACTTCAGTCCAATCAATCGACAGGAAAATCTAGAATTCAATTAAATAATTAATATGACCCGTTGCACTAGAGGTGGTTCTCGTGGCCCAAGTGTTCTAGTGGATAACGCTATAGCGTTTGAAACTATGGGCACTGGGTTCAAGCCTCAGTGGGAACATCATCACTCACTGAGAAATGCAGGTACACCCAGATGACGAATCCCAAACAGGACGAAATGTGCACCCTAGTGGATTCCACTGCTAGTCACCATCCACCAATTGATTTCTAGATAAGGATTACTTTGGTGATCCTTATTCCTATTATTCTTAAATCCTTTTTAACATTTAATGTATTCTAACTGGCCTTTATTTTTCACACAAACTAACTTGACAAGAAATATGATTACCACAAGATACATACAAACATATACCAACAAAGGGGGACAAGCAACAAACTTTCATAAAGCAGGATATAACGAATTAATCAAATTTCGGTAGAACGCTTCATCTGTACATACACGCACTTTAATGGGGATGTGGCTAATGAAGTCTAACATCTAAGATTATTGAGAGCAATTAAACGGACTTATACTGCAGCCACATCCTTTGTTTGTCATTTTCCAGCTGCCGACCAATTATGATTGCTCAAGCGAAAGACAAGCTACCTAGCTGTGCCACTTCTATGTGTATGTACAAATTTAGTTGTTCCTGTCGAGAGAGCTGGCTACATAGGGTGAGCAACTAGACAGCTCAATAAACGAACCATTAATGAGCATCTTCCTTCATTCATGGTTCGGAAAAACCCAAATAAAATCTATAAGAAGTTCTATTTTGACTTATTTGATTGATGACAGGGGTCACCAAGTGCACAGAAGTAGTGCCTTCAAAGTTATCTATCACATTCCATCGAACCTTTCGAACGGAATCCAAACCCGCCTTTTCCACATATAGCCGAAGCTATGAGAATTAATTCGAGAGAGCAATCCTAGTCTTTGCATACAACAAAAGAAGTTTGTCCTACCTTTGTCTCCTTTGGCCTAAGTAAAGTCTAAATAGAACCCTCTCACCCTTTCTTATTTTCCATCTCCTTCGTATTTTTATGTTATTTATTTAAACTCTGATTATCTATCCACTTCACCTTTAGTATTGTGTAACTTTCAAGATCTGACCTAATTTATTTATTTTTTGAATTGTCTACATATACACATATTACTGCCTCTGCTTTTCTTATCGCCACCTGCATAAACCTTATTATCATTATTTTGTTATCATTATAATCATCGTTATTAATGACGTTCAAAACATTTACCACATTATTATTATTATTTGATCCACAAAATCACCATCATTGGTTAAAATGTTTGTGTATAAATCTATGTAAATTAGAGTAAAGCCTGAGGAAGATCTAATTGAAAACAACAATAATGTTCTCTCATTTGTCTTGTTCTAATACACGGATATAAACACTATTACAATTGGGTAATATATGACTGATAAGCAAATGAATTACATTGAATTAATCATGTAAAACGCCACATGTGAAGGTTTTTCAGGACATATTCAAATAGATAAGGGGATAGGGAGTATGAGAGATTAAAATTAAGATAAAATCCATTACGCTTCAATTACATCACTTAGATAAACAATTGGTCATTAGACAAAGAATTGAAACATGAATATTAATAATAATAATAATAATTTGGGAATCATTGGCAGTATGCACCCACTGGGGTTTGAACCCAGTACCTTCCGGTCACAAGGCAAGATCGTATACTGGTCAGCCACTGGGACCCGCCGACCCAATGGTCTACAAACTCCAACTTCTACCAATTCGTGATATGCATTCAACACAACCACCAGCCAGTGTCACAAGCAAGTAACTGTCGTCTTGCTTGACTTTATGGACCCCACCGGTTACAACTTCTTACCATAACTGCGGGTTTTCCAATTTTTCACTAACTGGTGTCACCTCGTGATCAATCGTGTAAGGATGTATATGTTTGTTGCCCAAGAAACAGTTGCATTTTTGTACTCTTTTGAAATGAAACACACTCCTTTAGTGTGTGTGTGTGTGTATGTGTGTGATATATCATGATACTACCTAGCTGCCTAAACCTCAACAGGTGGGTTCGAATCCAGCAGTTAGTGATTCACAACTCCGCCTATATTTCTGTGAAATCATGACAGCGTCACTGAATAGTTTCATGTTTTATATGATTAGTTAAAAGCATATTAACGTGTAAAACTCTTCCTGAATTGTAATAAGCCAGCATTTTTCTCTCTTTGATATTTATACAAGACGGTGAGTAAAGCATAAGGTACTTCTTGGATAAAAAGAATCATGAAATATTACAAAACATTCGATATCGACATTATCACTGCCACATTCCTGTCAATCGCATCATTCTTATTCTTTGCCTAAGTAGACACCGCATTATTATAAAGCCTTCAAATAAACCAAAATCTGTACTTATATTAGTTGATAGTGACTAGCAATGGAGTGATTGATGTTCATTTCGTCTTTTTGGGAACTGGTTAGCTCTTGGATGTACCTGCATCCCACTCAATGAAAGGTAGTGATCCCACTGAGACTGGAATCTAGCACCCATCGTTTAAAACATCACAGACTATTAAGATCAACACAAGTCGAGCACTTCACTCCAGCATATTCAGTCAACTGGAAATGTATACTTAAGATCACTCGCTGCTGATTTCGGATGGTTCTTTAACTAATATCACTCCATTATTGAAACTGAAACAAATCAAATTCTTACAAATTAACTCTTGAAAATTAATCTGATGCTCACTAGTGACAACTGGCTACAGGACGAAGTTGCATGAAATTCTAGTAAGAATTCATGGCCAGTCTGACTGACTGACTGGCTGATTTCAACATAGAACTTTGCACAAATGTGCAGTGGTTCGAGTTGCCACACTCCATGCAGTACACAAAACAAGAGAAGACAACAACCATATCTGAGTGTTTTGCTTTTGTAGCAAATAAGACAGTTTCTGGTAGAAATCATCCTTTAGTTCATCGGAACTGCATTCGGTTAGGGAGTAAGCGGAGACTTTGAAAAGACAACGATGGGTAACGCCATGCTTCCTTCTTCTCATGGACCCTCTCAAACCGACCGCACACATATGACTATCCACTGGGATCCAGTCAAGAAGGGAATTTTCCTCCTTAACACTCAATGCTATTCCTATACCTGCGAGCCCTCGCGAACTAGTTAAGGAATCTCCTGATGCCCCCCGTAAGATAAATTTCTCAGATTCACCTTGTTGACCGGGTGGAGTCAATTGAATGACCACACTTGTGTCTTGTATGCGTGTCTCCAAAACACAACAGACATCCATGGCTCGAGATGCCAGAGTTCTTGCTACTGATGCTTGTCACCTGATTTGGCAGAGGTTACTGACGTTAAATGCCCTAATATGAAGTTGGTGGTGTGGCTTTAAGAGACTATTGGGCTCTCATCGTTATTTGTGATCACAGAATGAAATGAAGAGGACTGACTAGCCTGTAGAACAGTACTGACAGAAGTAGGGGAGTAAGATGATGAATGTGACGGGGATAAATGAGGATGATGACCAAGAAGACTTCGTCTTCTTTTGGAAGTGTATGAGTGGTTGTTACTTCCAGGCTGCCCACACCATGTAAGTTGATTTTCTCTTCGGGTACCTGAAACAGAAAAAGAGTTCATGTTGCGTGACAGCAGATCCCAGGAGAAAACTGCTTGAAGCAGGTCACACACGGCCTGTCTGAACTGACTTTTGGTTTGGTTTCGTACTAGTAACTTACCACCAGTAACGAAACACCGTAGTGTAAGTCGGGATGTACAATTTTCGGGGTCGGCCTTTTCTAGCCCCCTCCCTCCAGAGTGGAGAAACAGCATAGTTGGCTGGCATGCTGGTCATCTGAAGGAAAACACCTTACTGCTGTTACATTCCTACTCCCCAGCAGTACGACTTTGCCCACAGACTCTCAGCATAGTGTAAAAAAATCTTACACTGTGTCGATAACTGCTTTTAGTCTAATCACTATCTTAATAATCTTCCTGGCATACTAGGACCTGAAGGAACATTAGTTCCAGTCAGCGTAGTTCGTTGAGTCATTGCGACATGCAAACCTGACAATCACGTCAAGGTAGCAGCTATCGGTCGGGTCGTGACCAGTAGGGGGGGAGTGAGGACAAATATTCGCTGATGACCATGGCTGTTATTTGCGCAAAAATCACGAAGCGGCAGAAGTTATAATTCATGAGCTGGCTATTGAATCGGGTCCCAGTCTGTATACAAGCCTGGCTTTATAACCAGAAGGGCCTGAGTTGGAACCATGGAAGTGGGTGTGTACGGCCGATGAGCCCCAGACTGCGACAAAAGACTGCTTTCCAGTACCCTCTGCTGGTTTTCAATAGTGGTGTCTCTAACTGACATCGAACCATGAAACTACAAAAAACTAGTCGAATTCGACTTACCCAGTACAATTTTCTCATTCGCTTCAGGTGGTAGAGTGAATACAAGCAATGCCATGACTGACATTATCATACACGGTATTATAATATTGAACACATAGTAAAGAGCACGACGTTGCATATAAACATTTATAGTCACATCGATATACGTTTGATCATCACTACCATAAGTTTGAATATTTCGTTTTACTAAACCCTCTTTGCGGGTGAAGACAAAAAAACAAAATTAAACGCAACAAAAATCAAAAGATATTCATTCTCGAAGCATAAAATAGTATGGTTTAGTTTTAATGAATAAATACTCCTCATTTAGACATTTAAGAAAAGAACAAAACAACAGGTGTATTTCATTCAAGAGGCTTTTTCTCAATGAATTCGTCTTCCTCTTTAGCTACACAATCACATTTATATACAATGTGTTTTCACCAATGAGGATAGTAACAAAAGTGACCAGTTGTCATGATCATAGCTGTCAATATTAGTCAGTACATAATGAGAAGACAAATAAGTATATTAAGATTACGTAACAAGATGAATAATTTAATTAATGAGTTGTAATCAGGATGCACTTAGAGGCGAAGGAAAATATAGAAGTATGTAAGAGTTTTAAAGAAATACAAGAGTTATAAGGAGTTAGGAAAGCAACCAGAGGAAAATCAAGTTAGTAGAAATTAAAAAGGTTGTTACCATGACAATAGTGTAGCGAGAGGAGAGAAAAAAGGGGAACCATGTATGAGTGAATGGCCAAGAAGTAGTGTGTTTAACAGATACAGGAGCGTCAGTTTCCCTGATATATGTGAATCTATGTCACAGCGTCAGACCGTGTTTATTGACATTGCAGACGGTAGGTGGGCACGTGTTAAACATCATGGGCGTGTCAAACTGTAGCATTCTTATTGGTGATCTCAAAGTAACATTCCTGTTCATTGTTGTGCCTGATTTACGGCGAAAAATACTAGGGGCGGACTTTCTGCAAGAGGTTGGTACGATAATTAACACAAAAGGGAAGACTGTGACTGCGAAGTACGGACCTATCAGAATGTACTAGAACAGCGCCATTGCAGGTATTAAGGCGCAGGAAATACAGAATGTGAAACTGGTCAAGAAATGATACCATTCACAACGCAGAGTCCCATTTCATTCAGAAGGCTATAATGAGCGATGTTACAGGATGATATTATTGAAGAAGCCGACACTCCGTATAACTCTCCAGTTCTTTTAGTGAAAACAGTTAACGGAAAGTATAGATTCTGTATTGACTATCTGATTATTTCCTGACCACAACGTAAGCGAAATCTAGATTTAAGGTATAAACACTTCTTCTGTAACTACTGACTTAAAACGTCGCTGTCAGTTTTGTCTACTTCCTATCAATCTGCGTATATATACTATATATGTACAGATCGAACCTCGGACCACCGAAGCTTCCATATATCCTGGGTTATTTCAGTTCCACTTGTTCTGTGCTGTTATTTCGATGAACAAAGATTCGGTAATTAGCCTAACTACCTTCCTTCCTCCCTGCACCTAATTATATTACGTTTTAATACTGTTGGGTGGAGTGAGAGAGAGATAGAGGTTGATCACGGAATCTTTGTTCATCAAATCAAATGACACAACGTTATTAACAAAGATTTCTCGAATATATATATTACCACCAACAGAAAATCAAAGGATAAGAAATAATGGAAGTATACAATCAGAATTTGGAAGTTATGTTATCTTTCATCAAAAGATTTTCAGGGCTAATTTATATATATATATATAAAAGTTCAAAGAACCCTTAATGCTAGCAAACTTCACGTCTTATTCTCTACACGACCGATAGTGATTCCTCGAATGAAAGATAAAGTACCTAGACTAGCCACTTCCAATTATATCTACCAATTCAACTGCACTTGTCGAGCTAGTCATATCAGCTGTGGCTCTAGAAACTTGATTTTTCGTGCTCACTCGGAAACATCTACCAGTGCAGTTAAGTAAAGGTGTAGTGAAAACCATCAATAGTTCGATATTAGACCACCTGATGCACACCGGCCGGCCACAAAGTCAGTATTTAAGAATCCTTCCCTATCAACTACCGGGTACCGAATAAACTGCCAAAAACATCGAGGTACCGCATGCTCCAAACAGTAGAGGCTATTGCAATCGCCTCAAACAACCAGTACTCTGTGTGCAAAAGAAGCAAGTTCAGCCAGGCAACTACTACTGCCCTAGCCTTCAGTAGAGACTACAAATTCATGAATTTGTAAAATTATCTTTCCTAACCTTTCTGACAATCAGTTTATTGTTATGTTGATGCTATTGAACTGTAATCTATTGATATTATTACTGATTCGATGTTATTTAACCAGTATTAATATTGTTAATAACACTGATTCATTCACTGTTATGGATGGATAGATAACTGTAGAACCTGATGATGAAGTTATCGAAAAGAGTATTCTTTGTTCAGTAATCCTTCTTTTGAAAATAAATATAATTCAGGTAGAGAACCATTGAAAACCATCAGGGAATGCTGGACAGCGCAATTTCGTTGTAGTCTAGGATTTATCGGCAGTACACACTCACTGGGAACCGAATCAGTCTATGAATTCCAACTTCTATCAATTCGTGATTTTAGCGTGACTGGCGCCAGCCAATATCATCGACTGACCAGGTGGATGCTGTTGGTCATGACTTCCAATTAGAACTTCATGGAAATTAGTCCAGTAGCCAGTCAGTTCGCCAATAGTGAGCATCAGATTAATCGTCAAAAGTTTTTTGTAGGACAAAAGAGCGCTGCCCGGTACTCCTTGATGTTTTTCAATAGAATAACTTTCGAGAATTACATATATTTATATATATATATATACGCACATAAAATTATTGAATATCACTCACTTTCTAAAGCCCATTCACTATTAGCTAAATAGGTAGATAAATCAACTTCATTTACATAATGACAAGGTTTATCTTCACCAGTTTCATTATCACATTGTAGCTTTAAATCAACTTTATTCCCCTGATACGTCCATGTACCAAATTTCAAAATACAATTCTAGGAAAAACAGTAAAATTTTTAAAAATAAAACAAAAATTTACATTAGACACAGACTCATAAGGAGCGTAATTTATCAACATTAGCAAACGTCAGTTGATTGTCATAACAAAAAGAATGATTTTCAATACTTTTTAGTTCTTGAATTTTGAGCTAAACTCATTCTGGAAGTAATTATATGACCAACGGTATCTGATATATATATATATATAAGTCTAGCAACCCCATCCCATAAAAGTAAACACCACTGCTACTGAAACATCGAAGCACTAGCTTGAAGATATACGTGTTACAACAGAAGACAAGGGCCAGGCAACAGATCATCTATATGTTAACTGTATCCGCCTACGCAAAGTCTGCTGTGGTCGGTTTTGAATCAGTCTTTGTTCATATTTTCTCACGACAAATCTTGAGAACGTAAACATTGACGTAAATTACTGTCTACCAATTTGGCTAGTAGACGGCTCTTACCACATACGTCCCACTTGGAATTGAAATGAATATTTTTTTAAAAAGCTGCTTACCTGAGAATCAAAAGGGAACCAATTGACTTCAATATCGCATATTGAATGAAAGAGACCCGGTGGAACCCATTGAATCTGTCCATTATTTCTTACTGTCACTTTAGTGGGGAACATTTGGTCAAATTTTTCACTAGCGCTAAATAATACAAATAAAATAAAGAGTATTTTACTCACTGGGAGAGAATAGGACAAACGAATACTAAAAACTTTGTGATTTTCGGATCGACCAATACGTCACTGACTGACTGACTGAGCTCTAGCACCAAATTCTGCACAGATCAAATTGTCACATGCCATTAATGGTAGAGAGAAAAAGGTAATAAAACTTTACAAGAATCATAATGATGAGCAGAACTGTATGCGAGAAGAAATAATTATGTGGCAAAACATGGATCTGAGAGATTATAAGGAGTGAATACCTCTCTGCACCACACTGACAACAGTTTTGAGCCATATCATCATCAAACGTTTCATTCCACCGACTCCTGGGAAGTCTGCGATCCCCTTTAGGTGACTGGATCAAACCATTTGGCAAATACTTCATGGACTGATATCAGGTTTTTGGTTTGGCCACCATCTGATCCTGTGTGTCAGTTAACATTACTTAACAAGGATGGTGATAGCTCGGCATGTGTAACACTTGTACTAATCTGAATACCCAAATGGATCAACATTTAATATATTAGCTTTGTAGCGATTTTAAATCATGGCGTTGTAGATTTCATCATAAACTAAGACCGATCAGAGAATTACTGGTTAGTTGTTTCGTTCTAGTCTGGGTTCAATCCTTTGGTTCTGAGATTATATGTGACCATTTCTGAAGAGTAGCAAACTGGGACGAAACAGCTGTTTATTGCTAATTGGTTGTCAATGATTCTTTAACTGATATTGGTTCCTAATGAAATCTACTTTGAGATCAGCATTTGATTAGAGTGGTTCTGACGCTCTAGAAGCCGAACTAGATCTACTGAAAGAAACCTTCGTCTGAAATTGATATTCAGCGAGTTTCATTGAAAAGAATATCAAACCAAAAGTTCGGAGAAATGAAACATTACTTGTTTCAAAAAAATAATAAACTTGATATGAACCTGAATTTTAAGGGAGAAGTAACTTGTAGTATCTTTAGCAGGAGAATATCATTGTCATTGAGAAGGGTATTTTTCTCAGCAACGCTAAGAGTAGCGTTCTTCAGTCGTCTACTGGAATAAAGAAGCCCGAAGGACATGATTTCTGATCATCTGACTGCTTCTGTGTGTATACATCAGTTCAGATATTCCTGTTTGACGCGTATCCCATCGAAAAGTGTTCAAGAACACTATCCCACATAGTTACAGAAAGGCAGTAATGACTGCATAACAAGTACCTCAACTTATCAACACTGGTCATTCTATCTCGACAAACGCCTCCACCTTCAAAGTAATCTACAAAGTGAAGAACAACCTGCCAAAGGAAATACACTAATGTCCCTGTGCACTTCATTATAGAAGAATGTAAGATCTACATTTGACATCCTAAGAATATTTTACGATAACTTTTTGGTATTTCATACGAATTGCACGTTTAAAAAATGTCCACCAAACTACTGTCCAAACTACCACTTCCTCATTACGAATTCACTTCTCACTTCGACATACTTTACACACAGTTAGGTGAGTTAGGGATCAAGTGACTTCGACTGGATTGATTTTCTAGGGTACGGTCACTATTCCAGCTCTCAGTCTTCCCTCTTTTTCTGGGCTTGGAACGGATTAGTAAACTAGGCGACGAAAAGACTCTAGAAGATCTAGACTTCGCTAATAATTAATACTTAAGGTCTCGAAGACTATAGAATCTACAGAATCAACTATAATCGTTGGTGGCAGTATAAATGAAGATGTCAAAGGCAGGATAGGTAGAATAAAGAAAACCTTCATTTCTTCTGACATCTACTGCCCTTAGAGAACAAGGAATAAGATGAGAATTTGTAATGCCGGTTTCAAGTCAGTGTTCCTTTATGATTCAGAGACTTGACACGAGCTTCACCGAAATGCATTTCCAACAGGCTACTGGAAACTTCCACTAACAACACTTAACTTCACATGATACTGAAGATGAGATGATCAGAAAGCAAGTCTCGAAGGTCAAGAATTATTCAACAATCGATTGTCTCACTATCAAATATGCAAAAGGAACTGTAGATGGAGTGGAAATACGTTGAGGAAACCGTTGAGTGACATCACAAGCAAAGCTACAGAATGGAACGCGAATGGGGAACGTGGACTTGGGCTTCTTAAAGGGGATGTGCAGCGGAAACAGAAGCTTACAAGTGATGGTAAAGTCAGCTAAAAGAGACTGCAGAGGACAGACTAAAATAGAGGTATACTGTTGAATTCCTATGTTTCTCTTTGAAGTAAAGGGGAATAGTAATAAATAACTTCTCAGTGGTTTTACTTAGCTGAATAATTGTTGTTTATACTACTAATAAAGATTGTTGCATCCAAGTTTGCAATCTTCTAGTTAGGCTTTATAACAGAGTCGACACTATCGGCACCATCAGGTTTAATAGTCATTGTGTCATCTTTCAGTGAATGGAATAAATATAAAATTTCTTGCATTCTCCAACTATGTATCAATTGTGGTTAATGCATCTAAGCCACAAAACTATTACCCCAGAAATATCTCTCTCTCTTACGAATAGAGATGAATTTCTTGTTGTGTTAAACTGAAAACGTGTTTAGAAAGATGCATTATGCCTGGCTTCCAGTGTCAATAGGACATAACCTTCACTCAGTGTGTGTGAACAGGTACATCCTTGATTTCTTTCTTAACAAACCAACATCATAATTTTTATTGTTCCTTTGGGTTCCGAGTGGAACACAAAGCTTCAACAGCACATCTCCATTCCAACCTGTTCTCTGCAGTCCTCTTCAGCTGGGTCTCCATATTTGCCCGTAAGCTCTCATCTCCTCCATATCACACTCGGACCAACATCAAATTTGTCGTTCTCCACTCATCTCCACTCGAGCAATGACTCGCAGTGTGATGTCATCCGATAGTCTACTCAATGTGTATACCAGTCATCTCCGTTTTCTCTTGCATATTCGTTGAGCAATCACTTCTTGACTGATTCATTCCCAAAGTTCGTTGTTGCTAATTCTCTCTGACCAGCGTCTCATCTTCAGTATGGAGCCAGCAAAGTGGGGAGCAGTTGATAAACGTTTTGAAGCAAGCTGTTAGAAATTCTTTTTGTGACGACAGCGCCAAATTTCTGACCCATATAGAAGGACAATGGAAGTCGAAATCCGAATCCTGTTCCTAAACTTAGTCCTAACCCTAATCGTCACCTTAACGAGCTATCAACACATTGCTAAAAAAACTACTTAAAAACGAAATTGGGATGAAACTTGCACATCAGTTCGCACACAGCGTTCATAGTAGAGCCATGTAGTAATGCTAGACCCCATTCGTCCAATAAATTATTATTATTTATTATTGTTCCCTTGGGTTCCTAGTGGAACATAGGGCTTCAACTGCACGCCTCCACTTGCTTCTGTCTTGTGCTGTACTTTTCACTTGCATCCATGTTAATCCATACTGTTTCAGTTCCTCATCACACGATCTCCTCCATGTCACCCTTGGTCGTCCCACTCGTCCAATAAATACTATGCGTTTAAAGTCATTAGTACATTCGCACTCCATGGTCGCTATTCTTTAACTTGTCGGAGTGTAATTCACTTGACTTACCTGTTGTATAGTAGGATATCAGGTTTCCACATTCTTTCTTGAGGTAAATTTATCTGTCTGATATTTTCATAATCGCTTAAATTCCATTGGAAATGATAATCTGTCCATTTCTAAAAGAATTAAAGAGAATTAGAATGGGTGTTTTTTTTCATTTTAAAAAAGTAATATGATGAATAAACATTGCTTGTTTTAAAAATTGAACTGAACTATCAATATTGAATTTTGAACACACACAAAAGAAAAACAGCGGCAGTTCAAGTTGCCACAACATAAAAATTTACAGCAGAAGGAATATAAGGATGCTATAATGAACAAAGATTTACGAGAGCAAAACTGAGTACAGTTTTTTTTTAAAATTTGGTTGTATCCTCTGATCTGGATTGTTTGTCCAAATGTGAAGTTTTCAACGTCCTTCTAGATAGAATCGCTTTAGTGCAAGTTTTAATATAAAGTGAATTTATCTGAATACCTTTGTAAGTGCCAATGTCAACCTCTAGACAGGTCTTAATGTCAGCACCTATTAAACTTACTTTCCTCGATTAATCCTGATCAGTACACTACCTACCGTGTATATACTGATGAATCAAGTCCAGGTAGAAGGCTAATGCGCTGGTGTGTGCCCTGATATGAATTATATAATTATATAAAAAGTAAAAAACCAAAAATTAATACGTAGTAATGTGGTGGGAGCTGGTTGCTGGCCAAAATTGGTAGACAGCAATTTACGCAATTGTTTACGTCCCATATCTTGGTCATGAGAAAAAAAAACAAGAACAAAGACTAACTCAACAACCAATCACAGCAGACTTTGCGTGGTTGGATACGATTCGCAGATATGTAGTCTGATGTTCAAAGAAACGGCCACAAAGAGATGACAGAATAACCACCTTCATCAAGAAAACAATCAATCAGAAGACGATGTTTCTCTGTTAACAATAATCTATATTAATGTACATGAAAAACTATAAATATCTGTTGATTTCCTAAATAAACGATCTGTTGCCTGGCCCTTGTCTTTTGGTGTTACAGTAATATTGTACAACTTATCTGTTAACAGACTGGGGTAGCAAGCTCCAGGAGTATGCTTAATGATAGCACAACGAGGTGGAGAGCCATGTGAGAACAGTCAAGCATCCATTTTATATCATCAGATTTTATTAAATGTAAATGTTTGTTTCTTTCTCTACTTTTCAAGGTCACTGTTGTTGTTATTATTGATTTTTTTAAATTCATTAAAGGGGACGAAAATATGCTTGTAGAAGTATATTTTGAACTCGAGTAAATTTTAAAAAGACGATGGGATTATAAAGACACTGTTGAGATCATTTTGAGTACTGATGTTATGGTTATAAGAAGACGCAATTTGTCTGAATTGTGTAGTGTGTATTTGTGCACAACACATTTGGAACAGTCTGATCCAGCACACACGGACTTGTCATAGGAATCGACATATGAAATTAATAAAGAGTTAAGAGGTGAGGAAATCAATTTAGGTCAAGTTGAAAGGTCTCCATGTTGAAGTTCAAAATAACAATGAAGACCACTAGACCAAATAACAGAGGTAATAGTACATCTACCTAGGCTAGTATCACAAAAAGTTTACCAAAGAAGGTTTAGTGTGATAACGAATTCTTTTTGAACTCATAAAGGTGATTTAAACTTTCTAACTGCCAGCTACGGCTTCCACAAACTTTAGGATACGCCCTCCTATAAACACGTTTTATTGATAGGTTTAAAAGATGTGTAAACATCAATTTTATGTCCTGTCTCTATAATATGTTTTGCAAAAGAGGAGCTAGGTCCTCGCCTGTTCTCACCATTAATTGATTCTGGGGATTCTATTTGCTTCTGGAGCCATTTAGGAATATGCTCTGAAGCCAGCCCTCACTTGCAGAGATCGATGAGTAGATATTCACTATGTATGTGTGGCCACACGTACATTCAAATTGATAAATGCAGTGGAATGTGACACCATTTTTCGCATGTTCAAAAGGCTTAGATGGTGAACCTATTGGCCTCACATTCTCAATTATTTTGATCTTAACTACATAAAAAGTCTTTTTAACCACAGCAGAGTTCAACCTTTGTCTAGTTATCAAGCTGTTATGGTACCCCGTATTAGGTAGCTTGATGTACACGTCTTTCTTAGGGGCGAGTTGGACAGTGGGTTTTGATATTCTGACTACTTTATATCTCCTGATGAACTTGTCTGCATAATTGTTAAAAACCAGAGTTTGTGTCAACTTTTTCTCATCCTCATTAGGTGTGTCTTCAGTGCATATTCGTTGGATTCTAACGGAGAGGCACCTCGCTCACTAAGCGTCTTATGTACCGAACAGGGCAGAAACTGTGGTAATTAAGATACCGTCCTATCCTGTCCAGGTAGGTTTTCTACAAATAGATCATCATACTGATCCATCCAGCTGTCCATTGGCTAAGCAATATATCCAGGAAAGATAAACAATTACCTTTCTGTTCTACAGATGTAAGTGATATGCTTTTACTGAAATTCATTCATTCGATTTGAAATTGAGGTAACAGAATAGAACCACACATAGATCTACCAACGAATAACTGTCTTTTTTTACTGTCTTTGGAGTATTTTCTGACTGTGAGTAACTCAGGGGAGTTTTGTTCAGCTATACAATAGGACGCAAAGATCAGTTCTGGTTGTGTTACAGGGATTAAAAAATATACGCTTGTCCGCTTTCATTTCTAGCCGGCAACTTTAAACATTGGGATATATATATATACATGGATATGTACGTTAAAACATGTAAATCCTTTCAAGGTTAAATCGTATTCAGTAATGAAGTACTTACTATATCAAGCCACATGATTGTTGACAAAATTTGATTCTTTTCATCCTAAAATACAAATCAAAAGGTGACAATCAAAGTATTATTATTAATATTATTATTATTTAGCGAGTAATGAAAAGGTAATTCCATTATGGGTAAATTTTGTTTTGATAAAGTCTCACAGTGTTATACAGTAATGTTTACTGATGACGTTTCGAGCACAAATTATTGCTCATAATCATATCAAGGTAATCACACAACTTCCTAAATTCATTTATATAGTTCCATTATTTTTCACTTGATTTTCACTTGATTTGATTGGTAGTAATATTTTCCATATTTCGGGTATGAGTGATGAATCATTCCTATTGCATGTCTTGGGTGTAGGATTCAATGAACAAGGATTCAGTAATCAACCTCTCTCTCCACCTACCTAGATTTATCTTATTACATAAATAAGACAGAATATAAGTCATCTACTGTTATACCATATAAAGAGGGGACATCTGAGACCCTACGTAGGATTCTAAATAAAGCAGGAATTAGGGTGGCATTTAAACCTACAAACTCACTCACTCAGGGACAAGCTCTGTAGGCTAAAGGACCCGGTGGACTCAATTCGACAAAATAATATAATTTACAAAATACCCTGCAATGACTGTGAGTTACGTCAACTACATAGGTCAAACTATTAGGTCAGGGATAGTCAGTATATGTGTAAAACTTGGGCACTGTGGTAGTAAGTAATTCCATATTAGTTTGTTTATTAGGTATATCACACAGTGAAACAGTATTAGTATTTACTGGATGACGTTTCGAACAAAATTTATGGTTAATAATGATATCAGATTGTCAGAACATAAGAATTTAGGTAAGGTTAGAATGGTTGACCCCGAGAAGAAGACCCCGAGAATCCTACACCCAAGACATGCAATAGGAATGATTCATCACTCATACCCAAAATATGGAAAATATTACTACCAATCAAATCAAGTGAAAAATAATGGAACTATATAAATGAATTTAGGAAGTCGTGTGATTACCTTGATATGATTATGAGCAATAAATTGTGCTCGAAACGTCATCAGTAAACATTACTGTATAATACTGTGAGACTCTATCAAAATAAAAATTTACCCATAATGGAATTACACTCTACTACAGTGCGCAAGTTTTATTCTTATAGTAATGAAAAGGTAGGTTAATCCCATATGAACTTTTTCGACAACCTCCTTTACTGAAAGAGAGAAAAATCGATGTTCTGTTAGACCTGAATGTGTCAAAGGAAAATCTAATATTTAATCTTAGTATTCATGAGAGATATAATTAGGGAAGTTCACTACGTCTCACCTTCTCCACACACACACACACTCTTTGTTATAACTGCAATGAATTAAAGTAAACCGCGTCGCTTATTTGTTGTAACTGTAGCGGGAATTAAAATGAGGAACGTTGTTGCCTTGTTCTGTCTGCGCCTGACTAATACGCCTATCTGCTTCTGGTACCTTCCGATTCAGCGAACCACGCAAATATCAAAAGACAAAGTCTGTTCTGTGACTGTGTATTGTAGTACAACAACTACGACAAACTACGACGACGACTACAACAACGACAACTAAACTTATTTAGGAAATGGTATTTATACAATTTTACAACCAATAGAGACAGCTAACAGTATTTGAAATAATTGGTCGTAATAGTCAATAACAAAATGCGTGGGAATGATGATATACCACATATGCGAGATTAACAGTCATTAAGATAACTGAACAATAACAAAGTGCCTGGGAAATGATAATATAACACATATGCGAGATTAACAGTCATTAAGATAATTGACAATAGCAAAGTGTGTGAGAATTGATGATATACCACATATGCGAGATTAACAGTCGTTAAGATAATTGAACAATAACAATATGCGTGAGAAATGATAATATACAACTTATACGAGATTAACAGTCGTTAAGATAATTGAACAATAACAAGTGTGTGGGATCCTATCACTCTTCTTCACCAAAACGTGAAAGACAGGTTTCCATTGCTGATAGTGTCAATATGCATTTACTAATACATTCATTCCTGTGAAGCTGTACAGTGCAGAGGCCGTAGAGAAGGATATTGTCTGGATGCGCCCATGAACACTTACTAGCATGCTTGTTCAAAAGGAGAACACACAACAGTCCATATCTCACTTCTAGTCATACACATAAACTACGATCAAACCAGTGAAAATGGATCTCGTAGCCAAAACTTTAGGAATCCATATGGAGAAAAACCTAAACTTTAGGGTTCAGAAATGTCTGTTTCCTGCCTCTTTCACTGACATGGCCTTAGTGTCAATTTTTTCAATTTCTTGAATTGTTGAATAATACATCCCATGTAGTCCTCTTCTTTGTTTTTTTCTAGTTTTTCTAACTCATTTTCATTTCTTATTTTCTCTCCTGTTTCTTATCAAGTGTTTCCAAATTATTTTGCATTACTTATCAAGTATTGGTTTGCAATGGAAAACCAGGGGGTATTTTTGACAGGACACTTGTGTAATGTGTCTATTCGGACGATTGCGGGCCCGATTAGCTAGCTCAATGGTAACGTCTCTGACTACAGCAGTACTAGGTGACGCAGGTTCGAATCTCAGAAGGGAAATTAGTTCCTTCAAGGTTGCAGATACGCCTGTCTTGCTGACTAGTGAGTGCCAACTAGCACGAAACCTAGGTCCAATCAAGGCTCCGTGATGATCACCTCCAACCTTCTAAAAAAATCAGAGACAACTGTTTTGTCCTGGTTTTGGACTCTCCATCAGTACGCGGGGCTCGAACCAAGGATATTCTGGTTACTGGGTGAACCCGTAGACTATTAAGCCACTGGATCCAGGCAGAACGGTCCAATATTTCCAATTCTGCCAATTCGCGATTTATATTTGGCGCAACCACCAGCCAATTTCACTGGTGAGTGACTGTTCTCTTACCTAACTTAGCGAGCTCCACTGGTTACGACTTCTCACTAGGACCACAGGTAACTTCCTGTATAAGACCAGTCGCTAAATCTATATATCACGAATTGTCAGAAGTTGGAATTCATGGACCATTGGGTCAAGTCCCTGTAGCTGAATGGACTACAAGCTGGCCTTGTAGCCAGAAGGTTTTGAGTTCGAACCCTGGCTGCGGGTGTGTACTGTTGAAAAGTCCCAGTGACTAGGAGGAAATAGCTGTCCAATACTTCCTAATGGTTTTCTGATGGTTCTCTAACTGATGTCAGCTCATGATCACTTTTGTGTTCATAACTAATTAGTTGTTACTTCCCTCACTAACATCATATGGGGAAATTTTCATACGTAATCAGCAGCAGTAGTTGCTTCATACACACACACGCACCTTTAATTCGTTGACTGTCATTTTGTAGCAGCATTTTGTAAAACCGTGGAAACAGTTTTATTTTTTACATAAAAGTATAAAGGGATATAATTAAGCTTACCATATCCATAATTTGATTTAGAAAACATTTAAGGAAGACTTGTACTGGTTTTCCATCGATAGAAACAGGACGTTCCATTGGATTGTGTGCATCCCATCTCGTTTTGTCGAATAGATAATTCAATAGACGTTTTTCAGAATGACCTGAATGAGCTGTAATGAAAAAACAAACAAAATAATGGGAAAGAAATAATCGGAGGCAGCTACATTACTGTTCTTTGATTCATTAGTCTTTATACGAATATAATAGAGTGGGAGTCAATCACTGACAAATGGATTTGCTTTTATCAACCCCCATTCCCATTCAACTCAATCCTACCTCTTGCCTCGAAAAAATGAAAGGGAACACATTTTCACGTACCAGGATATTATCATTATTCCTTTGAGTTCAGAGTGGGAATTAAGGCTTCAACAGCACGTCCCGACTTTGTCCGTTTTTGCTTCAAGTCCTCTTTACCTGGCTCCGCGATTCTGCATAGTCTTTCATCTTCTCTCCACACGATCTCCTCCAAGTCACCCTCGCACTGGAGACCCACTCGCGAGCCATGGCCTGCATTCCACGCGATGTTATTCCACGGCCTCCTCAATGTGTACCCTCTCCGTCTCTATTTTCTTCGGTGTATTTGTTGAACCATCGGCTCTTGGTTGCTTTTTCCCCAGCCAGAGATTCTTGTTGCAAATTCTTTCTTACTGGCCATTTGACTTTCAGTATGGAGCCAGCGAAGAGGGCAACTGTTGATGAAAGTCTGCAACAAGCTGTTGGAAGTCCTTTTCGTGATTCTGTTGCCACATTTCTGATCCATATAGAAGAACTGACTTCGTATTTGTGTTCAAAATCCAAATCTCGTTCTCTTTTCTGAGTGACAGCAAATTTCCAAACTGGTTTCAGATTGATGAAAGCGTATCTTGCCTTTCTGATTCTGCTTGGTTTTGCCATCTTCATCCGAGCTGTACACCTGCCTGTGGTTGAAACGATGCTTCCTACATAAGTGAAAGAAGTAACCTCTTTCACATTTCTCCCGTTGATGGTGATTGGTGCTGGTTATTGTTCCTGTTGGTTGATTGGCTGGTTATCTTCATCACCTCTGTCTTCTCTATGTGTCACCTGGAGTCCTGTCTTCGCTGTCGGCCGCTTCTGTCAGTTTACTAGTTTTCGCCTGCAAGTCCTCGAATTAATTTGGCATTCAACATAAGTTATCCACACACGAAATCCAGATCTTCTAGAATCTTCATATCGGTCAGTCCAGCTTATTCCTGTCTTCTCGGTCCCACTCACATTCTGATGCATAATCCGGTCCACCACTATCAGGAATGTCATCAGTGATAATAGACAGCCAGCTTGTCTTACTCCTGTTATCATTTCAAAGGCTTCACTGGGTTTGCCGTTGTAGATCACCCAACATGTTGCACAGTGTTATGCTAGGATATGCGTTACATCTATATAGTGTGAGCGCTGGTCATACTACCCAGTTCTCGATGATGAAGTTCGTTATTGTTGTCATTATTCATTTCATGGATTATAAGTAGAACGTATAGCTTAAGCAGAACATCTTCATTCCACTCTCTATTCTGATGTCATTTCTATATGGTTCTATCATTTACCACAAGCTTTCATTTTCTCTTCACATGGTCTCTTCCACATCATCCTCGGACCAATGTGTAAGCCGTCATTGCTCGTCTAGGTTCCACTAGAGGTACGTCCTGGAGTATAATTTCACTTGAATGTCTGCCCAACTTATGCCCAATTGATCTTTATTTCCTGCTGCAGATTTATTTGTTGCACAGTAGGTTCCTAGTTGGTTCAGTGCCTGATAGAGTTCCTAGTTGCTTTTTTCTGGCCTTTTCAGTGTCCAGCCATTGGCTAAAGTCTGCAAGAGCTTGCTGGAAGTGCTTTCAGTGGTGGTGGACCGTATAGAACTACTGATTAATTTGACACTAGTGTTGAATATGGATCCTGTCTCCTGTCATAAGTACAGTAGATCAGTACACCGATTCCAGAGTGATGAATAACAACTATTTTGCTTTCCCTAACTGATCCCAGCTTTGACAACCAGAATTAAGTACGTGGAGGAAATTTAAACCTGAGACTTTTTGGCTAAAAGTCGAATGCTCAGGCTAATGAGTTACATTTGCCGCACAAAATTCTCGAACAATCAGTTTAGTCCAATTTGGACGCCACAATGGTCCCTGATGCCAGTGAAGTTCGCCAAACCTCTCAAAACCTCTACATCAGCCTCTGACCCCGTACCCTCTGGTCCTACCTTAAATCTCCATCGTCCCAATTATTCACACAATACCAATCCGTACCCAAAGATGACACCTCCATCATTCTACTTGCATTATATAGTGCTTGGCATTTCGGCAAGTATTCTCCATATAAGCAACACTGGTGCCAAGACTGCAATAATGTTGGACACAAAGATGATTTCAGCCAGCAACACACACAACGACCATCCCCGATGAGTCGCCGCAGATGCTGTTTCCAGTCAGCACCTGGCTGCCCAAAAAACGCATCAGTGTTCGGGCTTTACGTCCTTCAGATGGTGCTACGCCTGTTTCCCAACCAAACTTTACCGTTTCAAACAACAAGCTGTCCTCAGGCGTACCAAAGCTTCTTATGCTGTGGTAGGAGGCAGTAGGCCATAAATAGTGGATTATCATTTATTGGTGATATGGTGATCAAGGTCAGTCTGGAAATAAACCAATCAGAGTTGGCCTACGTAAAATAACGTCCACTATTTTACTGATCATGATTACAGACTGTTTGACATATCCTTGGTGATTTTTTGAATCATACATTATTGTGTAAAATATACTTTGGCTAATAATGAAATAGACTTTTCAGCTCACGTCACTGGGTATTCTCGCTTGAGTAGAGCATGTTGGGGAACAGGTAGCTGTCGTATAATATTGTTGGCGGAATCAAGTAGTATTCTGTCTATGATTCATACATCGAAGGTTGTTAAAAAAACCAAATATTGACCCTAATCCTAAATACTATCTCATAATTATACCAGCTAAACGTAAGCGATGGTCATTTTGGATAAATAACGACACTGCTATGAGGAAATAAGAATTATCCTTGAAACAGTTTAAAGTAGTAGGGAACCTTCTTTAGAATTCTTACACGTAAAGTTGTTTTGATCAATTGTGATTAGCAGTGGAATCCATGATCCACACATTTCATCCTATATGGGATCCGTCATCTGGATGTACCTGCAGTCCAAGTGAGTGATGATAGTAATTCTCTCTGTGAGACTCAAACTCTGCACCCTTCGTTTCAAACACTGAAGCATCATCCATTAGGCCAGAAGAGTTAAAAGAGCCATCTCTTGTACAGCGTGTATCGTTTGTTATTTGTTCTAAAGGTTAATTTGTACCTCATTTTGATGGATACAGGGCTCAGTTCTCAGTGAGAACACGACTGATTACTTAGCGGGGAGGGGATGCCAGTACATCCTGATGCTGGTGATCCCGAAACAAGGCAAAATACACATCCTCAATTCCACACAGAATTCAAAAACCCAAATCATAGTGAAATCTACAACGAAGCCCGTGTACAGAGCATCCATTTTCTTTGGTAGTCAGAATCTGACTGGTTCACTCAGGGTCATCTCGATGGATGTTCTTCTATTTCTTTTTTTATAATCACCCCATTTACCGGACACCAACTCTAGAACCAACCTAAATTAAAGCATCAGCCCAGCCTTTAGCCAATACTAAAGCGAATACTAAATGAAAAGAGATTAGGCCAAGAATAGAATGGATACTGAGTGAGGAATAGTCTGTCTACTTTTTGAGGATCATTTGCTAAGTCATTAAGTCCGGTTGCTATTCTTGTTATTGAACATTTCTTTCAAGTTTGATCAGTTAGACAACCACTAAAAACTAGTCGGCAGTACTGCACAGTAGTTTCGTCCTAGTTTGCGACTCCTCAGCACTGTGCACCAGCCGACCCACAATATCCAGGTTACGGGGCGAGCTCTTTCATTATTTAGCCACTGAAACAAAATCCAATAGCCCATCAGTTCTAACTTCAAAGTATGAAAAATATCCATGTGACATAAATCAGAAAGACAGGTCAGCAAAACAATATTTCGTAGAATTTAAAGAATAGTGACCACGGAGTGCGAACGCACCAAGATGACCGTAAACGCATGTTAATCATTGGATAAACATTATCTAGCATTATTACATAGCGCAACTATGAATGCTGTACATAAAATGAGGTGTTCAAATTTCATCCAACCTCGTTTTCAAATATTTTTCAGACAATATATTGACAGCTCGGTAGGGTTACGATTAGGATTAGGATCAGGGTAGGGTAAGGATTACGGTTAAGGTTAGGATGACAGTTAGGATTGGGATTAAGATTAGAAACAAAATTTGGACTTTCAGCACCAATGTTAAATCAGTCAGTTCCTCTGAAACTTGGCACAAGCATCACGAGAAGAGTTTCTAACAGTCTCCTGCAGACTTTTATCAACAGTTCCCCACTTCGCTGGTTTCATACCGAAGATCAGACGATTGGCCAAACAGAATTAGCAACAAAGAACTCTTGGAATGAACCAAAAAGAAGCTCAGAAAATATGCAGGAGAAAATGCAGATGGATGGTATATACAATGAAAAGACTATCGAGGAACATTGCACTCCAGGTCATTGCTCGAATGGGGATGAGTGGAAAACGACGAGTTTGACGTTGGTCCTAGTGTGACATTGAGGAGATGAGAGGTCATGGGCAAAGTTGGGAAGCCAGCTGAAGAGGACTGCAGAGAACAGGTTGGAATGAAGATGTCCTGCTAAAGCTCTATATCCCACTCGGAACTTATTTTCATTACCTGTATTTTTCTAGTACAAAACGCCATTTTTATGTGAAATCCACTAGTTATTCTGACTGGTCGCCTTAAGGTCATTGGTGCGTCTACATTACTCAGGTCGCTATTCTTTAACTGCGCTGAATATTCTTTTTGTAAACTCTCTTCAGTGCTGCACAGTTAGTCATATAGTGTTATATGAAGGTCAGTGAATCGCCAACGAAAGCAATCCTAACTTCTATGAGTTCGTAATGTTTAGAGCACCGCTACTAGCCATTTTCATCGGTGAGCTTCTATCCCCTTACTCCCAACTTTGTGGACACTATTGGTCACGACTTCTCACTAGAACTTCAGGCAAATTCACCCTGTAGCTAGTCATGTTTGACCACGGGTTGATATCAATTAGAGACCGAGACTGAAAACCCAGTGACTAAATGGCATACGAGCCTGCCCTGTGACCTGGGTTTGAACCCCACTGGGTACGTGCTGCCAACGTGTCCCAAACTAGGACGAAACAGTTGTCCAGTATTACTTGCTAGTTCTCAATGCTGGTTCATAACCCAAAGAATTCCTTAAAAAAGTAAAACTTCAAAATCGCTATTATTCATCATAAGCCTGTAATCATGATTACCGAAAAGCACGTCAATAAACACCACAACAACACTGACCAAAGAGTTAATTATGAAAATCGTACAAAACGACACAGGTGCAACTTACCTTCTCTAATCCACGATAAAATAATCACACTGGAAATAAGAATGCAATATATCACAAGATAACGTTTAGGCATTCTGTATACATTTATTCAATTATTCATATTTATTTCATGATAAAGACGATAGTTCCCATGTTTACCACTTTTTTTTCCTTTTCGTTTTAATGGAGTTAATTGCTATTCGATCGGGGAAAGTGAAGCTATAATAATAATCCTGAAAATAAAACGACTATAACCCGTTTCTTCCACTTTTTCCCCAAAACCATTTTTAGGTCATCATCAATTATAAAACGTTAGTGACATTTTCTGTTTGTTTTTTTTTGTTTTACCTGCGACATTTTCATGAATCAACCAATCAATATCAATTATGTCAATTCGAATAAAAGTTAACGAATAAGAAGACGAATAAATGCTTTGGTAGAAAAGACAATGTGTGTGTATGTGCATATATATGTGTGTTTGTGACACATATGCTTTCGTTTATTATAGGCAGATAAGCGTAAGTTCATCACTTCGTCTGTCTAGGCCATACATGTCTATATCACGCTGTCAATTTAAATTTCTTTTGCTTTGATATTCTGACCAATGGAGAGATCGTCGTGTGTGTGACAGGTGAACACCTGCATGCACACACACATACACACAAAATTAATTTATGTAATATAGGTAAAAAAACACAGTTCGATAGGACAGGAAGGGACATCATCCTGTCATCATACAAACCAGGTACCAACCCCGTACGACCAGTAGTAGATTTCAAAACACTTAGCTCGCTCTGATACTATGTCCCATTAGAAATCATTGAAACTCTGGAATAACTAATTCATATGAGATGAAAAAGAAACTAAATGGCATTCAATTAGAGAATAATGAAAAAAAAATGGTTGGTTTTGATACAAATAGTCTTTACGCGCTAATATACCAATCACAATATGGCCTGCTTCTAAAAGCAGAAGTTAAAAGAAAATTAATTGCTGATACTGAACTTACTTACTCATAGGGCAAAGCTACCGATCAAGGAAATTATTTTATTTGAACAAGACAAGAACTACAGCTTTAACAGAATAAAGTGGTACCATCATTGTTTATTTCGTTGCCTTCTCGTCAGCTGCTTACAGGCCAAAGGCATTATTAAGTGTAACTACAGAAACAATTTTAACATGCTTGCACAGAGTTCATTTTAAACATAAATCAATCGATCGCTATATGCATACAGTAATTACATATATGTAATATTAAACACTATTCCGAACAATAATAATCATACACAATGGAAACTTTTCAGCATTACGCATTCAGATGAAAGAGAGATGAAAATATCCAGTTACCAGGCAGGGCAATACAAGACTGATAATCGCTTCTTTCTGGACGTATAAATCAGGTTTCAGGCGCTTGATGGAGAATTGAGCTCTTTTGCCCATTCATAATTTTGAACGACTTTTCGACGTCCACCTCATGACCCGTATCAAGAAGATGCCTGGCGATGGCACTGTTTAAAGCATTTTTTCCCTTTAGACGTAAGCTTTTTGGTACATGTTCAGAAAATCGTAGATATGCCCTTCTTTCTGTTCTTCCAGTGTAACTGCTCCCGCAGATACACGTAAATTTGTATATACAGTTGGAGTTAATATGAGAAGGACATCTATCGATCTTTGATTGCACCAAAGAGCAAGTTGTTCGATAGATGGGGATGAGTTTAGATGCAGAATAGGCTACGGTAAGTGATGTACTCAGCCTTCTGTTGATCATCGCTGCAATGTTTTACCTTTATAATCACGCTGAATGTAGATTGGCCGGTCGGGAGTGTGGACAGATACTGGCCAATGGCATTGGCAGACAACTGTCGCGACAAAATCACGAATCGGTAGAAGTCTGAATTCACAGGCTGGCCAATGGATTGGGTCACAATGACTTAATGGTAGGTAGACGAGCTTGACTTGCAACCGGGAGGTCCTAGGGGTTGCGTACTTCTCAAGAGTCCAGTACTCCGCAGTGGTTTCCAGTGGTTCTCTTATGGTGGTGTGATATAGACAATGTATGCCAACGGAATATTATTCTCACATATTCCCACAGTTCAATGCTGCGTTAGCAACATAATGCGAGCTATCTATTTGAACATTGCATTTCATTTTGTTTAATGTAAGCAGAAATCACACGCTCAGTAATTGGTTAGAGAATATAAAACTGTATATATATAAATAGCGGTTTGAAAATATACCCTGGCTTCCGTGTCTTGCCTTCTATTGTTACACTCTAACTGATGTTATTCCGTGGGCAAACCTGAATTTTAACTCCATTATGTATAAGATTTTATGTTTATAAATCATAGTGTTGTTATACAGTAATATTAACTGATGACCACGTTTCGAGCACAAACTATTGCCACTCATAATCACATCAAGACACTCACTCACACAACTTTCTTGCTTCATTTATACACATGTGTGGAATCGATTAGATATTCAGTATGAGATAATGTATATTCAGAAATAATAATGCGAGTGTTATTGATCAATTACAATTAGATGGGAAATAAAACGAGCATTTCCTTAGTCATAATAAGTAACTTGTTAGAATGTCATAATGTACATGAATTGAAATATAATTTTAAGATTATTTATTATCCTCCTTTGATTTGACTGACTAGTGGTAATAATATCTTCCATATCTCTGGTATTTGTTGCATTGAGTCATTTCTGTTGCATATGTTGGGTGTAGACTGAATGAACCAGGATTCAGTAATCAATCTCTCTCTCTCGACCCACTTATATTAAGTCTAAGTATTTTAACCCTCTCCCACCCTATTGTGTGGTTGTGTGTTAATGCATGCATTGCAATTGCCGAGCTTTTTTCTAAATTACTTATCTTCTCGGGGTCAACCATTCTTACCTTAGCTAAATGATTATGTTCCGACAATCTGATTACCCCCGATCTACTAGTTTGATCTATATAGTTGACCTCACAGTCATTACAAGGTATTTTGTAAATTATATTATTTTGTTTAATTGGGTCCACCGGGTCATTTTGCCTACAGAGCTTGTCCCTGAGTGAGTTTGTAGGTCTAAATGCCACCCTAATTCCTGCTTTATTAAGAATCCCACGTCGGGTCTCAGATGTCCCCTCCTTATATGGTAAAACCACTATAGATGCCTTATATTCTCTCTTATTTATGTTATCATTACTAGTTTCACTATTATTTTTATTTTGCTTTTGACGCTTTCTGATCTTCCTAATGAATTTTATAAGATAGTTAGTTATTCATCACCAACACCTCTTCTATCTGTTTTGTTTCATCATTTAGGTCTTTTTTGTGCTACTTAGTGCTACTGCTCGGTTTTAACTGTGTCATTTTGTGATATAATGCAACATTAAAGCCAATAACTTCTATAAGCATCCACTTTGCCTTGACCTGAATCTGTTCAACGATATTATTCCTTGAAAGTTTGAAGCCCGGACAATCTAACTTAGATTAAATTAGTAAAATTATTAGACCTTAAAGTGTGGTGTGTGCTACTGATAAGATTTATCAGTAGTATATATAAAGAGGTGTTAATGGGCATAAATAACATCAAATAGCAGAGAGATACATTTGATGCCAGAGAAAGCAAATGATACAGCGTTGTGATGGAGATACACGGCAGACGTGAAGGAAACATAATATGAAGGATCGGCAGAAGTAGCAGGCACAACACGGAAGATCTGTGCAAATGGTGTGGCATTGAAGATTAGGTGTACATAATTTTGCTATATAGAGATACCAAATGGCAAATACCCCTTTATCAAGTCTCCATGTCTTCTACCTTTACAAAAGTATCTTACTGATTACACAAATCACTGATCTCTTCAACACAGTCCTAGGTTCGATGTGCCCATCGACCTCCATTCTCCATATAGTCTCAGAAACATTAAACTGGTGTTTTGTCACAGTTTGAGACTTTTAAATGATAAAGTATGTGCACCAGGATATTAGGGAGTAAACGAAATGCTCAGCAAAGTTATCTCTTCGAAGAGAGTCTGTCAAGTTCAGAAAATGGAAATCTTAAAACCAACAATCGACAAATTGAAGAATAAAGAAGATAATCCAGTAAAGAAAATTTTCTTTTTCGACGAAATCATCTCTTCAGAGGCTGTACAGTCGTATTTATATTTACCAAAAATGTATAGTAGTCTATTGCTGAGTAATAGGGGAGAGGGTTACATAATTGATATAATTACCCAGAAGTGGTTTTAGAAGTAAAAAATAAAAGTTGTAAATTATGTGGTACTCAACGACACAAAGTTAGAAATTTGATAAGGTTAAAATTGCTATTGAGTGAGAAGTAAGGTGGTGGTAGTTGAGTGTCGATTTAGCAAGTGTCAAGAGGGTGCGAAAATGTACAAAAAGAACATGTGAGAGTGACAATAGTGAATTAATTATTAGAGTAACAGCAAACTAAAAGTACAATTAAAAAATTTACTGAGGACGACTAATGAAGAGGTTGACACAATGGTAGAGTAAGAGACTGGACAATCTTTTTCTGTATGCAGAGTTTGGCGTTGCATTGACACAAAAGCCGAAACCTGATACCCTTTGTACCATTTGGCCTCACCTTGGAGATAATCTTGAAAGACGACTCTGATGGAGCTACTTAGCTTGAGTTCACCAATTGCTCGAGAACTGAGCTACACATTTTTGGGATAAATATAAAAATACGACTGTACAGCCTGTGAAGATGATTTCGTCGATAGAGAAAATTTTATTCGCTGAATTCGTCTTTTATTTTCTTCATAACTCAATGGTTATTTCGGTGAATCGACAAATTATTGCTGCATAGAAAGAAGGTAAATTGACAATGACAGCTTTATCAATTTTAAATTGTTTTAAAAGAATTTAGGCCTATTTTTGATGTCCTTTCTATGCATTGAAGTTTCTGTAGCGACTGGGATGACTTTCCAGAGTGAGGTTTGTAGCCCCACCTACATATACCCAGCCTTCTCTTTTTCCCTGGGATTAGGACCAGCTAGTAAACTAGGAGGGTGGGGGGAATTCGGAAGTGGCTGCACAGATGAAGATGTCACAGGCAAACAGGATCGTT